CGTCTGCCGTGCCCCGCCACTCCCTGGGCATGCAGCAGGGCAGGGGTGACTCCATAGCTGGACTGCCTTTCTAGGTAGCCCAGCTGGCAGCAGCTCCTTCCAGCTGCCACCACTGCTAGCCCCAGCCCTGTGGCTCTGGTGGGGACCTGCACACACAGCCCTGACCCGAACCTGCTTTGCACCCGCTCCAGACTCAGCCAGGTGGAGTGGACCAGCAAAGCCCTGACGTTGACCCGCCCTGCAGCTGCTCTGGACTTGCCTGCCCACGCTGAGCAGCAGGAGCAGCTGGGCAGAAGCTGCTGCTTGGCACAGGGGGGAAAGCATCCCTTCACCACTGCTGGGTCCTCGCTGAAGCCACCTGGAGCCTGCACCTGGGCTGCCCTGCGGCTCCTCTGAACTCCCACCACTGCCTCACTGGGTGGTACGGAAGCAGTGGTGATGGTGGCCGAGAAGGTACCATCACCACTGTAGGGTAGGGTAGCCTGGGCACGGGCTCTGAGTGGTTGCAGCAAGAAGGACCTGGTGGGGGAGGAGGGGGGGCACTTTTTCCCCCACACTGAGCAGCAGCCTCTGCTTGTCTGCTGTCATTGCTCAACGTGGGTTGACAGTCCAGAGCAGGCGCAGGGTGAGCTGGGTTGGGTCTGTGTGCACAGGTTCTGGCTGGTCCACTCTGGCCAGGACGAGGCAGGAGTCGGGACTGGGGCTGTGCACTGTTGGCAGTGGTGGGGAGGAGCTGCAGGGTACGAGGGCTCCAAGCTGTTGCAGCGAGGGGGTAGGGCGGGCTGCTGACCAGCCTGTGCCAGCTCTCCAGAACTGCCTATGTGACCCGCAGGCCCAAATAATTCCCCAGCCCTGCTCTAAGGAATGCAAGGAAACAGAATAAAAAAACACCTACCGTCAGATTAGGATCCAGGTTCAAATAAGGGTTTATTTTAGTATATGTTAAAAATAAAAAGTATCCTCTCCTATCTCTCTCTGAATTTGAATCCTAATCTGATGGTAGTTGTTTTTTATGCTGCTTCCTTGCATTCCTTAGATGCTGGTCTTCCTCCATCCTAGTAGAACAGTTCTGCTCAAAGTTCTCAGATTTGACTACTGTGGTAATTAGTTGGATTTTTTTTATATGAGTAACGAACATGGGCCCAGTTCTTGCTCCTAAAAATGATCAGTTGAGGTCTGCATGTGACTAGGGCTTAGGAGTAACCTAGCTGCTTGTAACAACCAATAACCCAGTATGTCTGAAACACAGTAGTGAACATCACTGAACCTGGATCGCTAATGTTTTTTGTTCTGTGGATGAGGAGGAATTGATTTTTAGTTACTGCAAAGATACTTTGCTGTTCTGTGGTTGGTTAGAAAAATCGCTGTTCCTGGCCTTTTTTCCTCTAAGAGAAAGCAGTTTTGGATATTTGCCTGTGGTGTGTATAATTTTACTGAAGCATTTTAATCTCATTTTTATGAGAGAGAACTTGACAAGATTCATTTTCAGAAAAGTTGGTTCTTACCTAGTTATTATTTATAACTTCTTGACTCTTTGGAAATGTGCATAGATGAAATAATAACTTGTGTTTTTCTGTTTTTGATTATGCAGCGGATATAATTTCTACGGTAGAATTTAACCATTCTGGAGAATTACTAGCAACAGGAGACAAAGGAGGTAGAGTTGTCATCTTTCAGCAGG